TACACTGCTAAATTAGGGACGGCTCGCGCAGATAGCCCTCGTGTAGCTTTGCGCAAAATTCAAAACAAACAAACAATTATATATCATGTCACCATACTGTCCTCACACATTTTATTTGAATAATCACTGAAAAATAACAAAAGATAGGGAAAAAATTGGTAAAAAACAGATTTTTTTAAATAAAGAGTTTGAACCTTGCTTGTACTCAAAGATATATATATTTGTGCATGTATCTAAATTTTGGAGAATAATTAAGACAATTTCTGCTGTCTATTGATATTTTAAAATGGATATATAAAAGAATATATGTGTGTGCATTAAATATACTGTAATCCAACAACAAATCAGATCTGTATCCAACAGTTTGCTGAATTTCAGGGCTCACACAGAACTTAGTCCTTTGAATTTTGCCATAAAAAGCCCACAGATTTTAAGAAATTCACTTGAAGAATCCTTATATCAGTGTATTTAAAAAGAAATTGTCACAACATGTCCTTTAGTTTTATAAAATTGAGCTATTGAAAAGTTTCATAAGATCAATCAGTCACTAAATTTGTTTACTTTTATTAGTTGTCTTAGCCAGAGCAGCACTTTGTTCAACTATCCTGTGGTTTCCAAATTTATTTATTTTTTTGGTAAACTTTTCCTGTCAGAAAATCATTTTGCTAGCAGGATTTTTTAGCATCATTGTGATGTAGCAATTGTTGAGTATAAAGCAAAATAGTGAGTAAAGGAAAATGACAATAAATGTTAATATATTTGTGTATTTGCATCTGTGATGTTTGATGTAAGCCTGTTTTCATGAATTGAATGTTATAGTGTCTCATTTTTCATTATGGGGAAGTATGTATTCAGTAAGAAATGGTTAAACAAAGATAAATTTAAAAATTGGGATGTTGAGAAAATTTTACCCTGAGTTTCTTCAGAAAAAAAACAACAACAACACAGCTGTTTCTATGGATAGTGGGAGAGAACTCAGTATGTTTTCAAAATTTTCATGAATATCTGTTGTTGGGATCTCTTGAAAAATAGCAGTTGAATCCTTGGAAAGTCTTTAAAAAGACCTCAGATTTTGTGATCATGATGGTTTACAAACCCTGAAGTTATTAAAGATTTTTTTCTTTTTGGAAATGTCTCTAAATGTTTTAATTAAAGATTTCTCTAATCCATGGTTTCCTATGATAGCTGAGTGCACCGTGATGGGAATCCCTAGTGTCACAACTAATTTATCTGGATTTGGATGCTTCATTGCTGAACATGTGGCTGATCCAATGTCGTATGGAATATATATTGTAGATCGCCGATTTAAGAACCCAGAAGAATCTGTTCAACAGTTAGCTCAGGTACTTTAAAGTCTTGATAATAGAAAGTTGAATAGCAGCATAAAAATAGTTGACACAAGTAGTAAAGTGTTTGGTCAGTAGCAGTTTAGAACAAGTCCTAACATTAACGTTTGCCTGGTAGCCCAGGACAAGTAAAAGTCATTGATGCAAGTAGCTCCAAACTACTTGTGCGACTGAACAAGTGAAAAAAACTCAATATTTCTAACCTTAATATTTCCTTTTCATTATTAGCAGATAGTCATTTTGTTTTTTTATATAAAGATAAAAAATATTTGTAGATATACTAAAGTTTCTGGTAATTATATTTATTTGTATTAATCTGATTATTCATTAACCTGAGTATTATCTAGTATTGTAGACTAAGCTTTCATGTGAAGTGTATTTTTCTGTCAGATATATATACAGAACCCGGTAGTGACATGCCAACTTTGTTCAATTATTTTGTTAAGTCTGTTTGAAGAGTTAAACTAATGAAAAAGAAAAACATTCTCAAATCACAAGTTTGCTCTGGTTGCCTGTGGTATGTAATAAATATTAGTTTCTTGTGGCTTAAAACTACTCGCAACAGTCTTCAAGTTAATTATACTTCAGTGGAATACAATATGCAATATGTAAGAATTTAGTAGAGGAAAATATATAATTGGTGACAATGTGATTTCTTGATATAATTAGCATTAATGTAATATTTAAGACTGTTTAAAATAAAATAGTATTGTGTACAGGATTAAGTACATTATATTAAAACAATTTTGAATAAGCAAAAAGGTCAGTCACCTGATAACCCTAGCTAGTATAAAGTCATCGTGTAATGGCATTTTGTAGGTAATGTTATGTCACCAAAAATTATCACATTTGGGAAGGGTATGTAACAGCCCTTTCCTGAGCAAAATATTCACACATTTAGATCATAAACATCTGTTCAGATTGGGGATTTGGAATTTCCAAAATGGAATATCTCTTGTAATTAATTGCATTGGATAACCAAGGAATATGGATCAACTTGGAGCATCAGATCCATCCAGAGAGAAACCTTCAACAATCTGTACCAGTAGAAACCAAAGTGTGGTGTCTTGTAACAGCTAAAGAATCCACAAACACAAAAGTCAGTGGTAAAAACTAGGCAACAGTATGCAACATAATCTAGAAAGATCTCCATCTGGAAGAGTGTCAGAAATCACTTGTACGCATATTGATTCCATGACATTTCATTCAACCATTGCATACCTCAAGCAGGTGGAAAATGAAACAAGTATTCATGCTATTCCATATTAAGACATACCAATCAAGTTGCCAGATGCAGTACCTATGGATTTATGTACAACTGGACTATTGAAATGGGTGCTGGTAAAATTATTGTATTTATACGCTAGATGTATTATGGAAAACTAATAGGAAGGAGTGGTTTTCTTTGAATAGGCAACCTTACAATGGAACATTTGTTGTGAAGACTACACTGTAAGGCTATTGTCAAGATGCATGGTTGTCAGAAAGAGCACAACCAGAAGTGGTGACAAGAACTCTAACAATGTGGTGAGGCCCCCCCAGTGGCACAGCGGTATGTCTGCAGACTTACAACGCTAGAAACAGAGTTTCGATACCCGTGGTGGGCAGAGCACAGATAGCCCAGTGTGTAGCTTTGTGCTTAATTCCAAACAAACAATGTGGTGAGGATCAAAAATCATTTCATCATGCACTCCCCCCACCACCACCACTACACCACGTATAAAAATATAACAAGTCTTAAAATGCTACATAGCATACAGCAAACAGTTCCAGTTTACTTACCAATTTAGTGTGAAGGATGGTCTTGAGTTTGGTATAAGATGAGGTCCATTTTGGCTAAATTGTTGATACATTAACTTGGAGATCAATTCTACCAGCAGATGAAATTGCTGTTTGGTTTTGACTGCTGTCAGAGCAGAAAATGCTGACTTGTATGTTGATGTGAAAGCCAAAATCATGTCCATCACTTTTCATGACAAGTCAGAGTATTCTTTGCTAACTAGCAAACTAGGTTTCTGGCTGAAAAGTTTTATCACTGCAAAGTTCTATGAGCTTTTCTTGAGCTACCATTGGCAGATGAGAAGCTATGCTGCCCTTAAATATGATTATGGATCCAATTGTGTTTTCCATTGGTTCTTGTAATTGATCTGTAAGGTGACAGTGAGGTTTTGAGAGATTAATAAAAACAACGTCATGAATAACACTACGATTTAAATTATTTTCTTCCAAAAATTCACTGAGGCAGGGAAACGTTTCAGTTTCCATTATCTAGTTTGTATTTCCTTAGCACAAGATTTTGTGAATAGCAGACATTTTGTCACTCAGCTGCAAAATATTGCTATTCTTACCTTGCAGTGACAAGTTAAGGTCATTGAGTTTATCAAAAATATCAGCCAAGAAGCACAGTACTAGATGCCACTTTTCATCCATAGAATGTGCTGTAAGTATGAGGTTGCAATCTAACAAAAAGAATATGAAATTCATCTTTAGCAGCACAATGTGGCTGTGTACCTTCTTGAGAGAAAAACAGTATGTGTAGCAAGAGCTTTTCATACATAGATTTCATTTCTCCACAAAGAATGGAAAGGTCTGAATTTCACAAAATTCAAAACACTCGCAGTGTCTTTTCACTGTTTAATTCAGGCTGCAATTTCTTTAGAGTTAATGTTTCTGTGTGTACGATGCAATATGTAAGTATTACAACTGAAGCAAGAGTACTTACTTTGGCTGTGAACCTGGTTTTGTTTCCCACAAATGCAGTTGTTCTGTCAGTGCATACTTCAACACAATTAACCCAAGAAAGATTGTTTGTGGTGAAAACAACTCAAAATGGAGAAGATGGTTTCCTCTGTACCTCTCCCTTCTATTACTTGTCAAAACAAACTTTTCACATACTTCCTCTTCTCAACAGTATCATACAAATATTAAGAGCTGGGCTAAATTTACAACATTTATGATTTAAGTTGTATGGGAAATTTTGGACTGTTCAAGATATGTGTGTTCTAAATTGCATTTTTTATGTCAGCAGATATTACATCAATTTGTTAAAATAAAACCACATGATTTTGTTTTTACTTATGAAATAACAAACAAATTAAAAAATAATAATAGCAATATATGTAGCTCCGATATAGAGTCAATGTGCACTCAAATACTGGTGGATGAAGTCAGTGTAATGGCATTAAACAAAAAAGGTATGAAACAAGTAATAGAATTAGGAATTAAATTTTTTTATGTTTAAAACAAATCTTCTACATACAAAGAAAATAACTAGGAATGGGAAGCCCATTATCTCCAGTATTATCAACATTATATTTCCACTGCTTTTCTGGTGGAGATATGTTGATTATATATTATGTGGCTTTAAAAGAGAAAAGGAAATGATGTGGTTTTTTAAACACATTAACAAACAACATAAAAACACAATATATGCAATTAAAATAGAATAAAATGGTTGTATAAACTTCCTAAACGTGAGCATAAAGAAAAACGAAACATTTAGTTTGAAAATTCACCAAAAGAAGACACATGATGGAACTTGTGTAAACTGGTTTTTCTGCTCATGATAAAAAAGTACGAATTGGAACATTAAAAGGATGTAGAATATCAGCACAATGAAAATGTGAAAAACGAAATTTAAAATATAAGAGAATGTTACAAGACAAAAAAAAAAAAGATTACCCTCTAAGTATAACAAGAAAATGAAGAACCAACAAGAAATGAACACATACAAGAACAAGAGAACTGACCAAAACACCAAAGAAGAGCAAGAGAAGAAATATATTTGTTTGTCAGTACCATTTGTAGGTGTTATTAGTGAAAAATTAATTAGATTATGGTACCAAATAAAACAAAAAACTAAACCAGAGACTAACATCAAAAGTTTTCAACCAAAGTTATATAATAATGAAAAATATGGCAATGGTACAGTGTATAAGGAACATGAAAAACTAAAAGTCAAATGTAAATGAACATATGATTGATAAACGACATGAAATAAACTTAAATATAGAGAAAACCCTAAAAAAAGAGAGAAATTCTGGAAGCACTAAGAACCAAAGAACTAAAACCTAATGTTAACAAACCCAAGGGGGTTGTTATGATAAACTCGATCATTTGATTGGATGTATTTGCAATTTGAATGTACTTGTACCTGAAATGTTGTACGAAGTCATGTCTCGCTATTAGAGATGAGAAATTGTACAGATATAAATCTATTATCCCACAAATAGCTGTCTCAAAACTTCATATCCTCAACTTGTTCTTTTTGTAGCCTACATGCTGATGCAGCTCCCCACTCTAACCTATTTGTGTGTACTGTACATGTTATTTTTCCCATGTTAATTGTTGTTTCTATGTTACTTAATGGTATTAATATTTCTAGAGTAGTTTTAAAATTTGACCTTTCACATTAAAAATTATATGTTCCTGTGTCTACCATACCAACTCTTTTTGCACACCCCACAGTTTGAGCACCATAAAAGTAATGTAACAAAATGATACTTGTAACTTAGATACATTGTTTGAGGGTCAAACATGCTTAACATTTCACCATTGGTGTTTTGTAGCTTGTGCCTGATGATGATACATAAACCTAGTGGAACATAATGGTTTAGAAAATTGTTAAACATATTTACTTGTTTGTACTCAAATACAAAATCTATTCTTTAGATTAACAAGTTCTCATGATTAAAATATTCTGAATAAATCCATCAGAGCAGTTTGTTGCTTCCTTTTTGTCGTTGTACAAAACAACAGGGTCTTTAAGTTATGCAAGTCAATAGAAGCAGTACTATTTTTACAAGTTTCAAATAATTATGACATTATAGTGCAACAATAATATGAGGATATCTAGGGCAAAAGTACATTATAATTGGGTAAGCAAAAAATGGCACTTATCTTTAAACTGAAAGTTGACTTATCAATAGCTTCTGATCAAAGCAAGCTTACCTACATAGATAAAAACTAAGAAACTAGATTAGTAAATGATGTAGCAAATTCAACATACCATTGTAATATATTAGTGTCATAAAATGAAAACCCATAATAACTAGAATTAATTGGCTCATGAGTTGAATGATTTAACACAAGTAGTAGAAAATGTGTAGCAGTTCACACTGAATTAGTACACATATTAGTAAGTTTAATCTTTGTAGCAACCTAGTAGTAGTTGACACATATAGGAAAGTTGAACCTGCACCAGTCCATAAGAACTTAGTAAAAATAGTAGAAATTGTAATGTTTAACAAACACAATATCGGGAAGGTTAATCTAGGTAGCAACCTAGTAGGATACTTGTGGAGATTTTAAGTGTGAAATCAGTTTTTGTGTTTTTAAGGTTTTGAAAAGCTTTAAATATGTTGCTGAAGGTCTTAAAAAGTCTTAACTCAATCATGGGCCAAAAAGACATACGTATAAAAGAGTAACATAACATATTGTTAGTAGATGAACAAATGTCATTGTTTAACATATTGGTATTCATTGTAAATGCATTAATAAATGTTGAATAAATAACTTGGAGGGTATTTGAACAGTTCTTTATTATTAATATTTTCATTATTTTTTGATCAATTTAATGTAAAAATAGGTTTTTAAATCTTATAAGGATTGGTCTTAAAAGGTCAGAAGACAACTACAGGAACCATGCCTAGTAGTAGTTTACACAGATAGGAAAGTTGAATGTGAATCAGTTTACAAAAACCATAGGAAATATAATATTTGTTACAGTCAATGAGTTAATCCACTATAGGGAAGTTAACATCTGACAGGAAAGTTGAATCTGCACCAGTCTAGACTGAGTTAAGAAAGATAGCAAATATGAAAGTATTATTCTCATGTTATTGCTTTAAGAAACATATTCAAATACCTGATGATGACAAAACCTTGTCGAAACGTTGTACATTTGCTGTCATGTTAAACTTATATTAAAGTTTTTCTTCATTACCCATTTAAGCCGTCTCCAGCCATTATTTAAGAAACATAGTTCTTAAGAACTAAAATGTGTCGGGGTTTATGTGAGAATATGTATTTGTACTTTATAATATGTTGTAAATGTATTTCTAAATTGCATGTATCACATCAAATATTGTAATTTTATTTTGTTGTTTACATTTTCTATTTAATTTTATGTCTAGTACTTGTTTGACTTTACTTGCTTGTCTCGACGGCAACGTATTATCCAACGTAACCGAACAGAAAGACTGAGTGATCTTTTAGACTGGCGGAACTTGGGTGTAGTAAGTGACTTTTGTGAAATTGTTAATTCTTTGGCTTGGAGTCAACATTAACCCTATGTGCATGGGTGGGGTCAAAGTGCTTTTATAGAGTTCCATTCAACATGGTATTATGTAGTTGATGTCAGAGTTATCAACTGTTGATATTACCCTTCATTGCTTGTTTAGCAACAGGAGAGTAAATACTAGATTTAGTGTACAGGGATACTGAAAAAACTAAATATACATTCAGGGGTTCTATAAGTTATGCAAATGCAACCTGTATATGATGGGCAAATGTATTTTTATTCTTAACATGAACATCACCTTACACCTCAACTTCTCAGTGTCTTAATCAGCTTGACACCCTTAATCAACATTTATCTTTAGTACAAATACTTTTGTGACATATCTGATTTTGTGTACAAAATATTTGTATATTCTACTAAAAGCTTGCCATATTTTGTGTAGGCACAAATAGTAAAGTCAAAATTATATTCAACATTTCCCTTCCAATACAGGGTTGGTCCGATGGAATGACTCCACACCCATTTGGTTAAATATCTCATTAGTATGTTTTTCGTGTACAAAATTCTTAGAATACTATGTGTAGTTGCATAATTTTTTTGTGAAGTTTTATTCATACTCTTAGAGCTAGATTTTTTTCCACATCCAGTTTTGTTTCCTAGTCAGTCTTTTATTTTTCACAGTAAAGAATATTTGTTACAAATTGTAACTGTGTGTACAGGTAGATGAGTTATAAAGTCAGTTTTTGTACGAAATTTATGATTCTTTTTTCAATGTTCTCTTCCCTGTTAATTATAAGTTCATATAAATTCTTTACTCATTTCTAATTGTTTCTTTATTAGTATTATAGGAAAGGTAGACAAATGGCTCTGCATATTACTCACCCAGAGATCTTGGATGAAGAATCTATGGTTAGTATTTTAAAAATGAGTCAGTTTTGTGCAGGTCATCATTTTTAATTTTCCTTTATTACTTGAAGTATAAAGTAATGGGTGTCATGTAGTTGTTCTAATAGAATCAAAGGGTTTTAGTTATGCGTATGTGTGTGTGTCTATATACAATTCAACTGAAATAGGTTTAAAGTAGCTTTAAGTTTTCTTTCTTATGCATCCATCTAATTTTCATTAAAATAAACATTTTCTTGCCTTACAAGTTTTTCTTATTAACTCATCAAAACTATTGTACTGTTAATTTACATTTTTAAAAGCTATTTCCTTTATTAATATTCTACATATAGTTTTTTGGAGGATAATTTTTAGTCACCACTTAACAAAAAAATCTTTATCTACCAGAATGGCAAACTTCAACTTCGTTATCCAAGACCAATGTCGGAGCCACCGTCTCCTCTCAGCTCAAGGGCTTCAACTCCAGCTCCATCAGAACATGGTAGTGATGAAGACTCTGGTGAAGAGCACGAAGAAATACTATCTGGTTCAAACTCAGCAAGCCGGTAGCCCAATAATGACACAAGTGTTTGTTAACATGGTCAAAATTTTGCTTGCTTAGCCTTGTAGGATTCAATTGACTCTACTTATTATATTTAGTGTCAGATGAATGAAATAGATGTTAATTAGTTTTTGCTTGAATTGGACTTTTTTTCTTTCTTGAGTTATACTATCAGTGTTGTTTTGATGAAACAGCTGTGTTACTGATAAGTACAGTCAAAAAGTTATGAAAATTAAGCTCTTCCTCCATTGGAAGATGTTTCTAATATAAAAATTACTATAACCAACAATTAAGTACTTCAAAAGATCAGTATGAACAGATATTGAAAAGGCATCTAAGACTTTTAAAACAAAATCTGCATTACTTCTTTGAAAAGTTAGTAGAGGGGCTTCTATATATGAGCTTGTGCTATGGAAAGAAATTCCTTAATGAATTGAGATCTAAATATCTGTTTTTAAGAGAATAATTAAAAATTAAATGTTATCTCAGGTTTATTATTATATGAGCATTTCTCAAAATTAACTTTTTGTAGGTTTGTGGAATCTTGTTGCAATTTCCAAGTACACCAGATTTATTTCACATGTAAAGAAATGGTCTAAACTTCTTTGTTTTATAAGAATCTCAGAAAAAATCTAATATGAAATTGCTTTAGATATCAGTTTTTAGTTTGTGTGTTGATAGTCACATGTTTGTTTTTGTTTGTTTTTTTACATTAGAGGTGCCAACAATCTTCATATTAAAAGTAGTGTATGTAAACAGTAGTGAGACCTTAACTATTATGTAATGAGGTATTGGCAGTACCACTATCCTTTTGCTTTGAGTAATTGTTGTTGTTATTAACCTAAAACTAATTCATTTTCATCAAGACGTGTCATTATGTTTTTGAAATTAACCAATAAAGTATCAGTATTTGTTAGAACATAGATTTAGTTTATTTCTACACTATCAATGGAACAACTTAATACATTAGTCTTCTGCCTCAGTATTCACAAAATGTACATAATAGATAAAAAGTTGTTACTCGAAGTTAAGTATAGCATACAATTTGATAAAGATAACTAAATATTAATGCAGTTACTGAAAAATATGAAATGCCAAGCAACTTGAGAAATCTACCTCTCCAAGGGTTGTTCTAGTGACTGATTAAAACAAAGGTTAAGTAACTGCTGACAGTAATATAGCTCTTCCTGGAATTCTTCCTTCCCCTCCAACAACTTTAAACGATTTTCTAAAAGATTTTTCAGTCCTAGTTCTGGCCGGTGACATTCTTCCTGTGCTTGTTCATGCTCTGAAACTAAAGCTAGAAGAGCACTCATCAGATGTTCATGACTTCTGTTATGTTCAGTTTGGAGAATGGCTGCTAGTTGCTCTACAAATCCCATCTTGAATAACAGTTCTAACATAGAAAATATTTTCAAATGAATTATTTTGCACTACAAAATTAACCGATATAATTACTACTTTATATCTGATCCTGGAAGAAAACTACACTTCTACTATTTCTAATGTAATGAAATAACTCAAAATCTCTATTGAAAAGACAGTAGCAATAAATATCAATCAGTACATACTTTGTCTTTCTATTAGTTGTAAATGACTTAATAGCAAACATTCAAAAGAATTATTTGCAATTTGTGAAAGAGAAAATATGATAGGAGAGTGTGTTTGAGTTTCAGGTTTATATCTCCTTAAAAATTACATTGTGCCTTAGTAATATCCATAGTATTAGGTCGTCAAGAAATTAATATCGCTTCTTTTTAGATGAAAAAACTCGAACAACTTATATAACAAAACATTTATTAAATGAAACAGGCTCTATTCTTATCGATAATGCTTTTTCATCTTACAATCAGGTTGTTAATGCCATGATTAAAAAATCACTTGGCTTTGAAGCAAAAAACATGTTGATGTCCTCCTTAACACCTTCCACATTTGCGTACGTTTTCCCATTAAGATGGTGTTCCCGTGGATGATAATCTGATGGTGCCATATCTGGAAAATTTGGTGGGTGGGGGAGAACTTCCCAACCCAACTCCATAATCATGTTGTATCAAATGTACCACATGTGAACATGCATTGTCATGAACACCTTTCAGATTGACAAGTGTTTCTGATGAAGGGTTTGATTCAAGCATTCTAGTTGCTGACTGTAGATCTCTGCATTGACAGTTTGCCATGGATTAGTTCTTTGATGTTCCACCAAATGCAAAGCATCACTTTCTGTGGATGGAGTCCAAGTTTTGGAATCGGAAGTGGTTTTTGTCTAGGACTGAGCTATTATTTTTGGCATTTAATATTCCCATAGAGAATCCATTTTTTATCCCCAGTGACAATTCTGTTCAAAAATGGTTCATGCTCATTACCCGCCAAAAGAGACGAAGCAACATTCACATGTTGGAAACTATGATTATCGAAGAGTTCATGA